TTCTGAGGCAGTATCACTGTGGAAGTAGATTGCCCACTCTTTCTTCTGAGCAGTAGCTGGTGGGTTTGAACTGCCAGCCTTGTGGTTAGCAGTCAATGCATTAGGCACTATGCCACCAGAGCTCCTAACACATATATATGTGTGTTTGTGTGTATATGTGTGTGTGTGTGTGTGTACATGCACACACGCTCTGGTGGCATACTGCCTAATGCATTGACTGCTAACCAGAAGAATGGCAGTTCAAACCCACCAGCCACTCGTCAGAAGAAACATTGGGCAATCTACTTCTGTAGAGATACTCCCTTGGTACTAAGAGCCTTAGAGGTGTCACTATGATGGCAATCGACTTGACAGCAGTGAGTTTGGTATAAATACACACACACACACATATATATGTGTGTGTGTACATAACTATAAAATATATGCCCTTAAATTCTGGTTTTAATTTGAATACACTGTCCTGAATGAAATGGTAAAAATCCATCCTGTTATTTCACCTGGGTTCTGTGACACCTGCAGTTGGAGCCCTCTATTCCCCAGGCCTATCTGAAGTGGCCATGAGAGTTTCAGTGTCTTCCTCCCCAACTGGATAGGTTAGTTTCATTTCACCGTATTTATTCAATCTGTATGCTGAACAGATAATCCAACAAGTGGGACTGTATGAAGAAGAACATGGCAACAAGATTGGAGGAAGAGTCATTAACAATGTATGATATACAGAGGACACAACCTTAATTGCTGAAAGTGAAGATAACTTGAAGCACTTATTGACGGAAAATTAAAGCCTACAGTCTGCAGTATGGATGACACTTCAACATAAAGAAAATGAAAATCCTCATAACTGGACCAATAAGCAACATCACAATAAATGGAGAAGAGATTGATGTTGTCAAAGATTTCATATTACTTGGATCCACAATCAACACCAATGCAAGCAGCAGTCAAGAAATACACATCATATTGCACTGGGAAACTCTGCTGGAAAAGCTTCTTTAAAGTACTGAAGAACAAAGATATCACTTTGAAGACTAAGGTGCACCTCACCCAACCCATGGAATTTTCAGTTGCCTCATATGCATGCGAAAGCTGGACTATGAATAAGAAAGACCAAAGAAGAGTTGATGTTTTTGAGTTGTGGTGTTGGTGAAGAATACTGAAAGTACCATGGACTGCCAGAAGAATGAATAAATCTGTTCTGGAAGAAGTGCAGTGAGAATGCTTCTTGCAAGCCAGAACAGCCAGACTTCACCTCACCTACTTTGGTCATGTTGTCAGAAGGGGCCATTCCCTGGAGAAGGAGATCATGCTTGGTAAAGTTGAGGGTCAGCGAAAAAGAGGATGACTCTCAACAAGATACATTGACACAGTAGCTGCAATAGTGGGTTCACATATAGCAAGGATTATGAGGATGGCGCACAACCAGGCAGTGTTTTGTTCTGTTGTACGGAGGGTCACTATGAATAGGAACCATCTCCACAGCACCTAACAATAACAACAACACACGCACACACCTAGCAGGGCAGGCTAATAAAAGAAAGCCATAGACAATTCAAGATCCGTTTGTGGCAAATGCTCAGAATACCACCCCTTCTTTCCCTTCTGACCTTTTCTTATGTATTGGGAAGTTCTATGTGGTTCCTGACTCAAGCATGTTCCCCATTTTTGTCTTGATCCTATCACCTGAACTTGAAGATTCATCTTGGTTTCTTCAAGTTAGCCCTTGGTTTACTCCAAAATCTTTGTATCATAATTACAATCTGATTTTTACTGCCATTCAGCTCGACCTCTTGGAAATGCACTAATGAAATGTTTAATAACAACAGCAGTAGTAAACCTGGGCTCAGTTTGGATCTCGATTCCAGTGGAGCTTACAGCTGCCCTGATCGTGATTTTTTTCTGACTCACTCACTCTGTTCTCCAGCATATTGGTGGGACCATTCCACTGAAAGAGGTCTTCAGAACAACAAAAGAAAAACACGATGACTTTCTCAATACTTTTCAGGAAACTTGTCCTTAATTAAGTGTCATTGCTAACAAGAGCCCAACCAAATGAAAGGGAATTTAGGCACCATCTGCAATGAGTCCTCTGTCTCAGAGAATTTCTCAGACTACCAACTTTAAATATAGTCTCTGATCAATTTATTTTATAGTACTGTTTATATTAGCTAATTTTATATTATATATGTAATATTTTATATTAGCTATTTTATAGTACTGTTTATATTAGCTAATGCTCAAATATACGTAATTCAGAAGAAAAAGGAGGCTTTCTCTCTTTTCGTTTGTCTTCTACCAAATATTTAATAAGGTTCTATTCTTTTGACAAAATAAAGATTCTCTCTCTCTCTCTCTCTCTCTCTTTATTCTATAAGGAGCTCTGGTGGCCTAGTGAGTAAGGCATTTGGCTGTTGACCAGAAGGTCAGCAGTTCAAATCCACCAGCTGCTCCATGGGAAGAAAGTGAGGCAATCTGCTTCCAAAAAGATTTATAGCCTTGGAAACCCAATGAGGCTGGCTATGAGTCTCAACCAACGTGATGGCAGTGGGTCTTTATCTTATATTTCATGATTTAGAAGGATTATAAAGAAAGCTCTGAATTTTCTGAGGGGCTCTTAATTGTTGTCTTTCAAGTCCTGTATCTCCTTCAAGGCTGTACATTTCTTCTCTCTTATTTAATCTACACACCAGTTCTGTGAGATAAGTATTATCATTCCGATTTTAAAAGATGTTAAGTTACTGAGTGAAATAAGTCAATGACAGAAGGACAAATATAGTATTCGTCCATTATTGTAAAAAGTCAAGGAAATGTTTATATATGGAAGGAAACTTTCTTTGTTGGCTACCAGGGGTGGGAGGGGAGAGGAGGGGAGGGAACACTACAAAAAAAAAAAAAAAAAGGAATGACCTATGTCACTTTAGTTTTATGTATTTCACCGTACATAAATTACATTTCAATAAAATGTATTTAAGAAAAAAGAAAGAAAGAAAAAGAGATGTTAAGTGATTTGTCCAACATCACACAGCTTGAAGACCATTGGCTCTGTTCTTTTCAGTGTATTATTCTACTTTTGCCAAGAAGAGAAATATTGCCTTGAAAATGGGTTTCCATACTATACAGACATTGTGGACTTTTTGTTACTTCAATACTCTGTCCCAGACCCGATCTGTAGCACCGTAAGACATTAAAAAGAGAACAAAAAGCAGACAAAGCTAAGTCAGTAGAATAAGATGTTAAAATAAAATTGTCTTATAAGGTTTCAAAGACCTCCCAGAGCATCCTAATCCAGAACCTATTTCCCTTTCTGTCTGCTTTCTGTCATCTATATTCTCAGCATTTGGTTGTTTTATTCCTTGTATCTCCACACAGCAACCTTTATTCCATGAATGGAAGCAAAACAAATGAACAAACAAACGACAACAACAAAAATCCATAGTACTTTTAGTATTCACTGTTCTGCTTACCACTGTTGTCAAAACCTAGTTCTTTAAAACAATTGTTTCTCAGGGATCTGTGGCTCAGGAGTTCAAGCAGGGTACAGTGGGGATATATGTCTCTATCCCCCAATGTGAAGGGTCTCAGCAGATGAAACTCTGTGGGAATGACTCAACAGCTGGAGACCGGACACATCTAGAGTCATTTTTCTCTCACACATCTAGATGTCATGCTGGTGGTCAATTGGGGCCTCAACATGATTGTTGGTCAAAACACCTCTACATGGGTTCTCTATGTGTTCTTTCCATGTGGACCAGTTTGGATTTTCTTACAGCATGCTAGCTGTGTTCCAAAAAAGAGCATCCCAAGAGAGCAAGTGGGAAGTGCATGATATTTTATGATCTATATTTGAAAGTCCCTTTGTGTCCCTTATATCATACTTTCTTGATCAACACTGCCACAGAGGTCCTCCCAGATTCAAGTAGAGGGAACATACACCCAAACCACTCATGAGAGGAGTGTCAAGGTCCCACCATTGTAAGAACATGTGAAATAGGAGATATTGTTGTGGCAATCTTTGGAAAATACAATCTGCCACAGGAACTCTTGTATCTCAAATATCAAAAACTCTATCAATGAAACACAGTTCTGCTCTGAAACATGTGGGGTCACCATGAGCCATAATTGACTTGAATGCTATGTGTGTGTGTGTATTTTGTTTTGTATTACATTTGGATGTTTGTTTAAGTATCTTTACCTCTGATTATCTGTTTCAGATTGTAAACCACATAGTGGCAGGGGCAGCCATGTTGAGTTAATTTACAGAAGCTACACCATAGCACCTTGTACTTGACAATCACAGTATATAATACTATAATTGCTGATAGGTACACACACTTGAATGCTCATTACTTTTATGCTATAACATCAGTAATATGTTGCAGAAAATATCTGTGCCAACCAAAAAGACATATAGCAAGCATCTTTAATGTACAAGTGAATTTTATTACTCCAATTAGCTCTTGGTTGCTTGAGAGGAGTGCATTTTTTTTCTCTCCCAAGTATGTAGATTCTTGTAAAACAATAATTGAATCACACAGTTGAGAAAAAATGAAATCATTCCCTTAAGGCAGCCTCTTTCTTTTTTCCTCGTTCTCTCCACAATTAAGTCACTTTTAATTTAATAGATTAACCAAAAGTTTGCATTAGTTATCTGACTGAGACATTGCTCATTAATGTTAAACTCTTTTGAAAAATTAACTAATGACAATTGTTCCTTTTCAGTTGATTTCATAGGTGGCTTTGACTCTTATGGCTATCAAGGACCACAGAAGACATCTCATTTACAACTACAACCTATGTACATGTAAGTACTTTACATTGAAGATATTCTTCTGGGATGCTAAAATATGATCAAGCAAAAGTTACTGTGGCCCAAAGTCAATGGCATGTATCTGTCTTTAAAATATTTCCTATAGTTAAGTATTTCCACTGTTTTATATAAGTATTGTTTTGACTGGGTTAGTTCTAAAACATTTTCTTTATAATGTCTTTGTTTTAAAATTTGGATGATCAGAAATGCCATCTCTAAAGTTTTCTTTAGTCTTGGCTCAAAAGAATTTGATATTATATACAACTATACCACTTCTTTGAATTAATCAAGAATTTTATGTTTTGAAAATAACATAAGCATTGTAGGTAGTGGTATGTAACTGTATATAAACCGGATGTTCTGGTTTGCCCAGGATAATCTCCAATTACAACTATTATCTTGGTGTAATTATTACCAGCACTTCCTTTTACTCTCAGAAGAGTTCTGCTTTATATGATAAATGATAGGATTAATTTAGTTATATCTATCTTCAAAAAAAATCAGAAATTGAACAATATTTTTCTCTGTCATTTTTTGAAGTAAAAAGTGAAATGAAACCAGAACATTAACACTGAAACTTATCAAACACTTAACTCTAGCACTCAAGAGAGCAGACATCCAATCCGAGCCTGATTTTTATATCTTGTTTAGGCAAATTCCCTTGGATAACAACTGATAACAAATTCTATATATCAGTATCAAGTGATATGCTGAATTGCAAGTGAAGATCAAAATAGAAAGTAAGATTCCGATTCATTTTGAAATGTGAACTTCTCACTTTGAAGATATGTGTTTGTTGTCGTTGTCCTCCACCATTGAATCATTCTACCCTTTAATATCTTTAGTGTATAGGATAATACATGGATTTTGGGAGTATTTCTCCTCCAAACAGATTAAAATTATCATTAGATAGCCCCCTTTTAAGATTTTCTTTAACAAGAGAATGATATATGCATCATGTCTGCATTTTTTCCTTGTGTCCCTTGTAGTTCAATGAAAGCATTTGCTAACACAACAGATGAAAAAGACACTATCAATTCAGAAATCAGTCTATACTACATGTCATTCAAAACATTCCATCTGTAAACAATATAGCACACAACCCCTTTCCCAACCCCACAGTTTTTGTCTAATGTGGGCATTCATTACCTATAACCTTAAGTTTTCCAGTCTCTTTCTTATTTCAAAATCCCTATTGCCATCCTCTACTTGGCTACAAAGTTAATCTTCCTAAAATACTACTTTGGTGATTTCGCTCCCTACCCTAAAACTACCAATGATTCTCTGTTACCTACTGAATACTATCCAAACTCCTTACCATACCCTACAAATCTATTCTGATCTGGCCCTGATGTTCTGTTGGTATTTTATCTTGGCCTTTCAAACTTAGGAACTTTCATATCCCAACCACATGAGGATAATGTTGGGAGGCACTAGGAAAATGTAATGATTAATAAGAACTGATCTTTGCCCTCTTATAGTTTATACTCTACTGGGGCAAAAAGAGTCTGATTCCTTCCCTCAGCCATTCTAGCTATTAGTTTTTCCGCTAGCCAAACTACAACCCTTGTCTTTCTCCAACTGTGTCCTATATTTTCCCAGTTCAGCATGCAGTACTTTTGGCATCAAACATCACCTTTTCCCAAATTCTACATTTTGAAACCCTGATATTGTTCAAATTCTATTTTAAAGGATACTTTCTTTATGAAACATTTCTTAATCTCTTTTTTTCACTGTGCCATGTATTTTTTTCTTGTGCCATGTATTACAGTTGTTTGTTATTTATACCTTAGCTCCTCCTATTTTTTTTGATAGCTAAAATTTTTTTAAAAAGATAACTCCTTTCAATTCTTTATGACTCCTCTAAATATTATAATATAATCTTGTGTAAAGGGTTCCATTGAAAAATAAGACAAAGCAGTAAGGGTAGTAGTTAAGATTACTTATTGAAGGCAGACTCTCTAAGATTAAATTCTATATGATGTCGGGCATATAACTTTATTTAAATAACTTTATTTAACTCACCAATTCTAAATTTCCTCACCTGCAAAATAGAGATGATAATATGCTTCCTTCATATAATTACTCTGCAATTATATGAAACAATACATATAAATCACATAAAACATAGTGCCTGTGACATGGTAAATAAACATAATATTATCAGGAATAAGGTTTATTCCAACATCACTCGTGAAAAGATATTAGCAAGTTATGTCATTCAAAGGATCCTTCTGTAAACAGTATATCACACATAATATCAATGTCAGGAGCATGTACCAATACATTTCTGCTCCAGAGTGGACCAAAACATCTACAAGACTTGCAATTGCTTGCTTCTGACAATGTACCTTCCTAAGGAGTAATGGTTCAAATCCACCAGCTGCTCCATGGGAGGTAGGGGTGGTGGAGATGAAGCAATCTACTTTCTTAAAAATTTACAGTGTTGGAAACCCAAGGGGGTTGCTGTAAATTGGAATTGACTCAATGGCAGTGCATTTTTTTTTATATATAACATATTGCTTCACATTCCCTTGTATAGGTCAATATAAACAATTAATAAATACAATCACACTATATAATAAATATCACTTCTCTTCTAGGGATCAACTATGAAAATCACATGAGAATGCTATTTCTGGACAATCAAGTATATTGTTTCAAATGAGCATTTATAATGTTATTTTTGAAGAGAGAACTGTACAAAGATATATATCTTTGCCCAGCCTAAAATTCTTTGAAGGCAAAGCTTCCCATAATTTTGTTAAATAGAAGGCTTTAAATGCCAACCAAAATAATAAAAATAGTGTTTTCCTTTTTAGTTCTTAGGAATGGTAAAAATTATATTTTAATCTCATTTCTCATGAAGTAAATTAAATGTTTGATGGAATTCAAACATTTATGAAGTTAAAAATATTTAAGACATATAAAAAATTACTATTCAAAATACTACTACCATCCCTTCCACAAAACATCCCAAAGGGGATTTCATACCCTAGAACACTAAGATTTTATTTTACAGGTGATGAAACTGCATCAAGAAAAAGGAAAAGAAATATCTTGCTAATGGTACAGCCCAGATTACTAGCCAGTTTTCCTGACCCCTTAGTTCAGTGTTCTTGTATGGACTCTGAGTTTGAGTTAGTATTACAGTCCCTGATTTTTCACTTACTTATTGGTATTTCTCCATACCAGTTTAGTTACCATACTTCCATACATAGCTCCCTCTGCCTTTTCTCTACATTTCTTTCATTGTCTTCTGATTTTGCATTATGCAGTGTTAAATGAAGGGCTTTTGCACATTTTTAACCCACAAAACAAACCATTTGAGAATCATTGTCTATTCAAATCTGTGAAAAAACCAAAGCTGATTCACACATAAACCTCATCTCCTGCTGAGAGGCAGAGACCTAAACATCAATGTCTGTCCTTTGGGGTGTACCTTCCCTCTCAACTGGCCATAAATAAGTCTTGTAAAGTGAAAATAATTTAACATCATGGGCCAGTCGGTGTTCAAGCACCTAACAATGTAATATAGCAACTGGAAGTAAAAGCTGTTTCTGAGAAGGAAAGCGAATGCTTCAAAGCAATGTGCACTTTTAGCTGTGGGGCTTCCGTTCTACCCAGCAAATGTTCTGTGACTGAAATCCTGGGTGAGGCTCTGAAAACCCGGCCTTTCCTGACTTGAATTCACAGACAGTTTTCAGGTCCTTTAGTCAATAAATAGATGGTATTCTTTTCTGGTTAAGGTAGGGTGAATGTTCTTAGTCTGTAATTCTTTCAATTATTTATAATACATTTGTAAATAAAAGGTTTTTTTTTTTTTTTTTTAAAATTTGGTAAATCTCCTCAGACTATTTAGGCAGCTATGAACACAAACATGTTCATAGGTAAATTTTCTAGCACATTTGCAGCTTTACTACCACTAACCTCTCTGCCATCACAAGTATAGATTTGTTTGGGCTCCCTGCAGCATAAACTGTGAGACTACCCTATGGTATATTGGAAAGTATTTGAAAATGTCACACTCTTTTTTGACTGCCTAGTTGTGGAGCAATACATATCCATTTCATTTGTCTCCAGAAATAGATTGTAAATTATCCTAAGTGGCTTCTCTATCCATGGGGTTGCACTGAGAAAAGTAGAAAAGTACCAATTTATTTAAAATACAATTTTGACTCTTTTTTTTTGTTGTTCTGGTGCTTGGAGAGATGAGAGGAGGTCCTGAACAACAGGCACCCATTGCTCTCTTGATTAGAAGCATATACATTTACATACATACATACATATATATATATATATATATATACATATATATAATTGTTATTTTTTAAATCTCTCCTGTAGGTCAAAATAATCAAGATGACTTCAGTATCTCAGCTCATGGACCTTTCAAGCATCTTGTTTTGCAGTGGCCTCCTGCATTTCATAAAGAGCAAGAAGCAACTGAGTTTAAATATATATACATATTAATCAATCAAACAAACAAAAAGGTTCCACACACAAACATGCACACGCACACATGCACGCACGCACTCAAATATACACGTACACACAATTCCACTTGGCCTCCTGTTTCTAACTGAAGCAGATATGCAGGACACACCCATCTTGGATTTCCAGAAAGCAGGCTTCTTTCTCCCAGGCCTTTGGAAAGTTCAAAAGGAAATGTGTTGGTGCCCTCTGCTGGCCGTTTAGTACTAACTCCTCCGCAGCCCAGCCAACCTCTGTGAGCTACAAGTCATCCAGGGCTTTCAACTTTAGTTTGAGAGTCCTGTCTTCTGCACTCCATACGTCTTGATAGCACCACGGCTACTTAGGCAATGTAATTGCAAAAACATACAAAACATGCCATGATGACCTTGTAACCGAAGTCCGAAATGGCAGATTGTTTGCCCTGAAGGCTGTACCGTACGTACATACTTGCCTTAACCCACCTAAGTTGTGCGCCTGAGAATCTCAGTGCAGACATCCCCAAGTCACTTCCTTTAGGCTAACACACTGCTGTTAATTCCGAATGAGTTTGAGTCTGTGTGTTTCATGTCAAGGACCAAGACTGCATAGCTCAGCAGCTCTAGTGTGTCTGTGTAAGAACACTGCCAGCTGTCAGCAAAGTGCTTTACCATTGAGCCTCCATGGTGGCCAATAAAGAGACAATTAACAATAACAATGACAACAGTAATAATAATTGTCAACTTTATAATTCTTAAATATGGTCTTCTGATAGGGTTGGGATAGAACAAAGTAAAATTTACTAATCTACTAAACTCATTAATCTCCTGGAAGCAGAAAGCAGAAATGGCTTAACTCACTGATTTTATTTATTGCACTCTAGGTGCTTTTATAAGTATCTACAAATATGTCTTTTACTAACACAGAAACAGTTGTGGATTTCTATCAGCCGAGGCCAATTAAATGTGTATTAGCTCTGTTTACTCTTTTATATCTAATTCAAAATGAAGACCCTATGTAGGTGAACCTTTTTTCCTAACTTCAGCGTATGAGATTATTTTTTGGGTGGGTGGGAGGGAGCAATAGTTACCTTGGTGAAATATTTGAGATCTCTTTGTGGTATTTGGGGGATCTGTTGTGTGTTAGAGTGTATTTTAATCCTCCTGTATTATTGTGGCAGAAAAACTGTGCTGTTAACGTAGTTGGCAACAAGATGCCTTTGGAAACTTAATAGTAGTTCAATGTGTTTATGGAATACTCTGAACTCCTAGGAAATTTTGTTCTGTATTTTCAAGCATTATTTGGTTTTCATTAGTGGTATGAACATAATGAGCTCAGGCTTATCAGGAGCTCAGATGAGTCTTCTGTCTTTTCTTAGAACACCTGAGACACAAAAATCAATATTTTTGTTTTGTTTTGCTTTTGTTTGTTTTTTAACACACACCATCCTTAAATGCAGTGAAATTCAGACATGGAAAGGTATAAATTGGCATGGAGCAAACTTTTCCTTTGTTTTCTGTGAAGTCTGTTATTGGGTTAACCTACTTTGGAACTTTGCCCATCAAGATCTACATAAACCAGTTCCATTACTGTGTTTGCATGGATGTCTGTGGTATACACACACCTATACATCAGAAAATGACAAAGGGATGCAAAGTTACTATTGGAGCAGAAAGAGAAAAAAATTTCCAGCACTCATGCTTGAATTTTCTCAGTCACTTGTATATGTTGTCCATACGTATGTGTATAAAATACACAATTATATATGTATCAGTGAAACCTCAGACGATTACCTTATAGTGACATGCATGTTTAATGTATGAGAAACTATTTACCAATGTATTGTCCTTTGACTCCTAAAATATTAATACTATACATGCCAGAAATTATTCTATATGTGACTGTTGTAACGAGGTTTCATTGTGCATCCATGCTGTGATGAGATTCCACCTTTGATACATGTGTATGGATACAGATTTAAGTGAACAGAATAAGCCCTCATTTTCTTGGTTTAAGTTGCAGCCAGGTTACCACCAAATCACTACTTATCATGACCACCTAAATTTTCAAAACAGTTGTTGACTACTAAAAAGTAATCAGTGGACAGATCTTTTTTGGGAGCAGTAAGCACAGTAGTGTGATTATATCTGGAAAAACATCTAAGTTGTACAGCTGTATCCTCCTCAAAATCCAGTGAAGAACACTATTTTTCTAGGCTGAGCTTTTGTTATAAACCTAATATTCAGAAGGCAAAAGTTATAATCCTGATGTGTCTTTTTTTTGCATTTGTTAATTCTGAATGTATTTTTAACAGAGTGATTTTTTGACTTATTAGTGTAATTTGCATTTTAAAAATAAATGGAAAAACAATTACGTTTCCGAGCCATCCCTGCAAACCCTTGCTGCTTGCCACAGTGTATTTGATTAAGTCAGTGACAGGGAAACCCTATTCAATGTGCATGGAGGCAGTGCTGATGTTCTGTGCAGTGCAGGGACGCATCAGCAGAGGAAAGAAATTGCCAGGTCATGGCACCATTTTACTTCAGTCATAGGTGACACATACTTTCATTATCTTCCTGACACTAAGGGTTCTTTTACAAGACTGCCTGGAAGAGGCTTGCTGTCATTTGGAGAACTTTTATTTTTTTCAAATTTTGCCTTCAATCTGGGATTTAGGGTTAGCATCTGGGTAACAGTTGACAGAGGTGTTAGGGTGCTATCTTTTAAACCTTTAAAGTGTAGATGAGGTTTTCGCGACTCCACAGCAGTGAGCTTGGTTTTTTTGGTTTTATAGAACAAGTAAATTATTTAAAATAAAATCATGTAAAAATCTCATTTACTGCCCCTTAGATGATACAATCTCTTGTTTTTCCATTATTAGAATATTGATATCCACCTCAATGAGAGACAACTAGAGGGAAGTATGTTGGGTAGGGTAGGCAAATGAAAAAGATTAGACCCAGGCTTTGGGACTGTAAGGAGCTCTGGCAGTATGGTAGTTAAGGCATTTGGCTGCTAACCAAAAGGTTGATGGTTCAAACCCACCAGCCACTCTGAGGAAGACAGAGAGGGCAGTTTGCTTCCATAAATATTTACAGTCTTGGAAACCCAATGGGGGTTGCTACAAGTCAAAATTGACTTGATGGCAGTGAGTTTGGTTTGTAACTGTACAGCCATAATTTAAGTCAAGGGTCACTGTACACATTAAAGGGTGACAAGGCAGTGTACCTTCTCCAGGCTCGGGCTAACTGAGGGGTATATCCTTTCTCCCACTGGACTCAGAAACACATCAGTGCTCAAAAGCCAAAATGCCTCAAGTGATTGAAAACAAGGAAATCTTTGACGTAGCTTTCAAAGGACCTGGAGATGAATTTGTAGTATTTGATTTGCAGGTCGCATAGAGAGAGACTTGTAAATGAGCAAACCTGTTTTTACTTTCATTACCTGTCTGAAAAGTATGCTGATATGATGTTCCTTCAAGAAGGTGTAGATGACTGTCAGGATGTTGCTTCATACTGTGAAGTCAAATGCACACATCTCAGTTGTATCAAAGGGCTGGAAGTTAATAGAGCAACTATATATATTTACATGGCTATATACACATACATGGGAGCTCTGGTGGCACAGTGCCTAATGCACTTGACTGCTAACCAGAACGCTGGTGGTTCAAACCTACCAGCCACTCCTCAGAAGGAAGACGGGACAATCTACTTCCGTAGTGATACTGCCTCGGAAACCCAAGGAGGGGTTGCTACGAGTCGGGTCCGACTTGATGGCACATAACAACAACAACAACATACACATACACATATATAAGGAGCTCTGGTGGCGTAGTGGCATTTGGCTGCTAACCAAAATGTCGATGGTTTAAACCCACCAGCTGCTCTGAGGGAGAAAGAGGAAGCAGTTTGCTTTGGTTTATACACATGTGTGCGTTTGTGTATGCGTGATCTTAAGGAATAGACTCATTCTTGAGTTCTCAAATAGGGTTGGAATTTGGTTAAAAAAAAAACTAATAACAAACATAATCAATCTCTGATACCAAACCTACTGCCATCAAGTCGATTCCAACTCATAGAGACCCTTTAGGATACAGTAGAACTGCACCACAGGGTTGTCAAGGCTGGAAATCTTTATGGAAGCAGACTGCCTCATCTTCTCCTGTGCTGTGAACCACCAACCTTTTGGTTAGCAGCCGAAAGCTTTAACCACTAAACCACCAGAGTTCCAGTATACTAAGTGGGCCATTTTAATTCAGATATGCGAACTCATTTTAAATTGCTCACATTTTAAGTAGGTTAGAAGATTAAACTTTGGACATCCAAACTCATTCTTATGTTGTTGTTGTTGTTAGGTGCCATCGATTCAGGTCAACTCATAGTGACCCTACATTGTTGTTGTTGTTGTTAAGTGCCGTCGAGTCGTTTCCGACTCATAGCGACCCCATGCACAGCAGAACGAAACACTGCCCGATCCCGCACCAGCCCCACAATCCCTGCTATACTCGAGCCCATCATCGCAGCCACTGTATCAATCCATCTCATTGAAGGCCTCCCCCTCTTTCGTCGACCCTCCACCCTACCAAGCATGACATCCTTCTCCAGGGAATGGTCCCTTCTTACAACATGACCAAAATAGGTGAGACGAAGTCTGGCCATTCTTGCTTCCAAGGAGCATTCTGGCTGCACTTCCTCCAGGACAGATCTGTTAGTTCTTTTAGCAGTCCATGGTACTTTCAGCATTCTTCGCCAGCACCACAACTCAAAAGCATCAACTCTTCTTCGGTCTTCCCTACATACAACACAACAAAACATTGCCCGATCCTGCCCCAGACTCACAATCCTTGCTATATCTGAACCCATCATTGTAACCACTGTATCAACCCATCTCATTGAGGGCTTCCCCTTTTTTGATGACCCTTCACTTTACCAGCATGATATCCTCCAGGGAGTGGTCCCTTCTGGCAACATGACTAAATTTGGTGAGATGAAGTCTGACCATTCTTGCTTACAAGGAACATTCTGGCTGCACTTTTTCCAGGACACATTTGTTCATTCTTCTGGCAGTCCACAGTACTTTCCCTATTCTTCGCCAACACAACTCAAAAGCATCAACTTTTCTTCGATCTTCCTTACTCACTGTCCAGCTTTCATCTGCATATGAGGCTATTGAAATTGCCATGACTTGGGTTAGGCGCACCTTAGTCTTCAAAGACACATGTTTGTTCCTCAGCACTTTAAAGAGGTCTTTTGCAGCAGATTTGCCCAGTGTGATACATTGTCTG